TACGCTTGCTTCACTCCATGAGTACCCTGTTCATGTTATTACGCTGGCTCTTCACTCCATGAGTAGCCCTGTTCATGTATACGCTTGCTTCACACTCCATGAGTAGCCCTATTCAGGGTTAGTACGCTTGCTTTCACTCCATGAGTAGCCCTATTCATGTATTATACGCTTGCTTCACTCCATGAGTAGCCCTATCATGTTATTACGCATGCTTGCTGTCACTCCATGAGTAGCCCTATTCATGTTATTACGCTTGCTTCACTCCATGAGTAGCCCTATTCATGTTATTACGCTTGCTTCACTCCATGAGTAGCCCTGTTCATGTTATTACGCTTGCCACTCCATGAGTAGCCCTATTCATGTGCTTCACTCCCCTATTCATGTTGGTAATCTTGTATACATGTTATGCATGGTTCATATGCTTACTAACTGAGAGTTAGCTGTGTCATAACACAGTTATGTAGATGTGTTTGCCTTTGTCTTGTGTTTAATTATTGTGGCCTGGTAGCTCTGTACGTTACCCATACGTTACCCCCTTGACAAAAGCTCTGTAGGTAAATCACTAACTATACTGCATAGTATCGTGGATTTAAATCCAACCCACAGCAACTTGTTTTTCCTTGACAAGAGATAGCCTGGGTATCGTTGGAAATTGCCTTTTGCCTTTGTCCTGCAACCTCATTTTGGGTTGGTTCTTCTTTTCTGACTAAGTCATGAACTCTGCATATTTCATTGTTCTTATAGCTCGTAACCCGTGTTCACAACCTGTCCTTCTTATGGCGTATATACTATGCATTGGGTAACCAACAACACTATTTCGTGACTCAAGACGTAGTCTTAACCCTTAGCAAGTCACGGACATTATGTCCAGAGCTTCCATAGACCTATAAGAATTTATATGGGGCTATAAATACAACAATTTCGTCTTATTTAAGGAGATACCCATGGCGTCCAAATGGTTAAATAGGTCACTCCTTGATGTTTACATGTCGTACAAATCCCAGGATGTCATTCCTGTGGAAGCAGCGGACTCAGCGAGAGAAGGAGCAGAAGAAGAACTTGGAGGAAGTGAACCAGCTCCTCCTCGAGAGCATCCTGCCCACCAAAGTCAGCAAGTACTACATGGAGGAAGAGAACAACGCTGTGAGTCCCCAGGAACGAGGGGAGGGTCTCTTATCTTCCTTCCTCTCATGGTTATTCTCTCCTCACACCTTTCATCATCCCTTTTAACTCTCGGCGTTCCTGTGCAGTTACGGTTATGGTACTTAGTCTGTGAGTTTGTGTCCGTCTGTCTGTTACCACGTGTCATCAAGATAACATAATAATGATAGTCAAAAGTTGTGACGTGAAAAGCAAGTGAATAAGCCAATATTGTATTATTCACTTGCTTTTCACGCCACAACTTTTGAATGCTTAAGAAAAGCTTACGGATTTCACCCCGTTTTGCACTGTGGAGACATTGGAAGTTCTCTCTTTTCTCTCGCCCACAAACTCACTCACTTGCCCACCCTCCCTTTTCCCCCTCACTCACCCATCCCTTTCTTCTTTGCTCCATCCTCCAACCTCCCTCCCTCCCCCTTCACTAATCTCTCCTCCCTGTCATCTAATGTCACACACTCTCTCCCTCCCTCCCTCCTCCTTCTCCTCCCTGTCATCTAATGTCACACACTCCCTCCCTCCCCCCTTCACTAATCTCCTCCCTGTCATCTAATGTCACACACTCCCTCCCTCCCTCCCTCCTCCAACCTCCCTCCCCCCCTCACTAATCTTCTCCCTGTCATCTAATGTCACACACTCCCTCCCTCCCCCCTTCACTAATCTCCTCCCTGTCATCTAATGTCACACGCTCCCTCCTTCCCCTCCCCCCTCACCCCACCACAGGGGTACTACTCGGAGAGCTGTGAGTGTGCCTGTGTCATATTTGCCTCTATCCCTGAGTTCTGGAGTATGTACAGTGAGACCGAGATCAATCAGAAGGGGGTCGAGTGGCTCCGCCTTCTTAACGAGATCATCGGAGACTTTGATGACGTATGGCACACACTCGTGCAAACACACATGTACTTGCCCGATGTATATACCATATGGGTGGTCAGTTGAACTGTGGGGGTTACAACTGAAGAGGAGGAGGGAGGGGCTGGAGAAGGAAGGGCAGGCCAGTGGTCCACCGGTAGAGATTTGGAGGAGAGATAGCTGTGGTTTCCTACCCTCCCTGTGGACTGGGGAGATAGGGGAAGAGGGAGATGATGTTTGTACGCATAAAGTAACGTTCAGAGCTTATCACATTTCAGTTAGACCTGACGAAAACAAGAACAAACTTTGTCATTTTGTCAACAGGCTGTATGACTATAAAACGGCAGCAACAAACAACCATGCATACTAGTTAATTGCGCCACAATTCTTGCAGTTTATTGCTCTTGTATCTTACTGCTATTGTGTAATATTGTGCCACAATTCTTGCAGTTTATTGCTCTTGTATCTTGCTGCTATAATGTGATGTGTGTATGCGTACCCAGATTATAGAGAAGAAGAAGTACAGAGGAAAAGTGGAGAAGATAAAGACCATTGGGTCCACCTACATGGCTGCCACTGGCCTTGGAGAAAACCAGGTATGTAGTGAACATACATACATACATACATACATAAATATACGTACACCTGTCACGTCTACCTCCAGCCACAGACGGAGGAGGAGAAGGTGAAAATGCTCCACCAGAACGTGGTGCTAATGGCCCACTTTGCCTTCGAACTCATCCGAACTCTCAACAGAATCAACAGAGAGATCTTCAACGACCTCAAAATGAGGATAGGTGAACGATTTGTCACCCCTCTCTCTCTTCTTCCCCTTTCCCTACGCATGGTGCATGATCTGGAACCCACTTACTCGTACACTCCAGTAATGCAAACGCCCGCTTGAAATAGATGAAATATGGGAACAAGGTCCCCGCAGCAAGTTTCGCTGATAGTGAAATCACTATAGCAAGTTTCACCACTTTTGAAGTATCTACACGTTTAGCTTTCATTTTCAGGAAATCAAAATTTCCACTAATTAGAACGCCGGACAGTTACGTGGTATTGAGATTAGCAACTTCATTCCCTCTCCATACACTCTCTGGGACTTTGCTCACTGTGCGATGCAGTTGCATATACATATCCTTGTTGCTGTGTGTAGGGTTGAATCACGGGCCAGTGGTGGCTGGTGTGATTGGCTCTCAGAAGCCTCTCTATGACATCTGGGGAGACACTGTCAACGTGGCCAGCAGAATGGACTCAACTGGACACCTCACCAAGATCCAGGTATATACAAGACGTGATACACCATGCAGCACTGTTGCGCAAAACATAAGTTGGTGCAACTTTAAATGTATGGCTATGATAGACCATCCTACCTATTGCGTGCAGCATGTTGCATGGAGCCATCCTACCCATACATTTGAAGTAGGGTGCATCAACTTCATCTCGCCCAACAAAGTTGCATACTGTATCATGGCCCTTATAATAGCAGTGGGATAGTAGTTCAGGCAAAACTCTTCTGCCTCCTGAAAAACTGGTGAGCAGTTCTACGCATTTGGGCGTCTTTAACAAGCGAGCGGGAGTGAGCAAACTAGTTGTTGCAAAAGACCACTCTATCGACACTGCCACACATACCGCAATGTTTTACATATCTACACTGAAGTGAAATTTCAATATTATTGTGTACACACTACACCCATGCATGAGTGTATCATGCCTCATGATGTTGATCGATGCAAGAGAGATACATGAACTGCGGGTTACCGAGAGAGAGAACTGACGATGGCATGCACACGATAGCTTAGTGTATATAGTCTATGCTTAGCCTTCAGCACCTCCTGTAAGACTGAAATGCTGCTCTACACATTTTTTTGCCACTCCCACAAGTGTTGCATCCTTATTTGAAGTCATCCACCATCAATGCTCTGTGGCCGTTGTGACCCCTAACAAAATGCATAGAAGTGTAGAGATTGTGTGCACATTATCCTTAGTCAGAGTTTACAAATCACAGGCATTTTATAGTGGAACTTCCTCGTAGCTAGCTTTTACAGCTATATATAGCCGTAGCTGGCTTACTCCTATGCCTATAGTATATACAGTAGTACTTCCTATAGCTTTGCTACATCATATTGACTTATTGCCGTCTCCATAACAACACATACGTATGTTGCAGTTCCCTCTGTGACTTTAAGCAGATAATTATGAAATTTGGAACAATCAACGGCAAAAAGTCGTATGCCGTGAGAAAGTTTTGCTCCTTAATTCGGGTGTCCTCTTTTGGCAGGTTACCGAAGCAACGGCAAATATCCTCTCTAGTCACGGATTTGTGTTGGAGAAAAGAGGCAGTGTTCCTGTCAAAGGCAAAGGTGAACTCACCACATTCTTTGTTGTCAGTGAGCAACGAAAATCTTGACCCTCTCCCGGCACACCGACCTCCATGTTATAATATACTGCTGGAAGACATTTTAGTCACCGTAGAGATCTAATAAAATGACGTCCGTTCCATTTGTGTCTATATTATTTTAGTAGTCATTTCTCCGTGTCATTAAATAGCGAAAGCTCTATATATCCAGACTGCATTTTCAGTTTTAGCTCATTGTCGAGTATGTTGTGGAATATTGTTGAAGATGTGGTCACGCATTGCGCATGCGCTAGTTATGCCTTTCGCGTCACGCGCATCGAAAACAGAAAACAGCGAGGAGCTAGAAGGATGATTGGTTTCATAGTGACTGCAGCTCTCTCTCTGCTGCTTGGCTACTACCTGCTGTCCCGACTGAGACTCTGCAACGCCCGCTACCCGCCGATTCAAGAAGTTCTAGCGCAGTCGACTACACGGTATGATCTCCGTGACTTGAACGTGCCTACAGCCACAGGGCTGCTCTTCAAGCTGCTGATACGCCTCCAGTTCTCCCGTCTCGGCCAATGGACCATCGTCCCATACTTTGTAAGGAGGAATGCCCTTCGCATGCAAGGCATCCACCTACCCGAAAAACCCACCCTCTACCCTACTCCGTGTTACCCTCCGCCCATCTCCGGGGACTACTCCGTACTCAACCGTGCTGTTCTAGAGAAGCTGGTGAAAAACACAGACGAACTCGCGACTGGGAGTGAGTTTCGATTCCCCACTGTGGCCGACTATCACAGGGCCTATGAGAGCGGTCAGTGTACGCCCACCGACGTTGCCAAAGCCGCGTTGGAAGCCATCGAACTCTCCAACTCTCTTTCCCCTCCTCTTAGGGCTATCACAGACACCAAACGCAGCGTCGTGCTAGCAATGGCCGAGGCGTCTACCGACAGGTGGCAGAACGGCAAAACCCTGTCCCTCCTCGACGGCGTACCCGTATCAGTGAAAGGGCTGTTCCGTGTCGAACCATATGAATGTCTCTCGGGCTGTGCAAAGTCTCCGGAAATAGTTCACGGAATGAGAGAAGCATCCACTGTTCGTAAACTGAAAGAGGCCGGGGCGGTTATAGTGGGGATTGCAAATCTGCAGGAGTTTGGTGCCGGTACGCTGGGGTCCAATCCGAACCATCGCCACATCACCCCCCGAAACCCCTACAACACCAAGTACTACTGCGGAGGTAGTTCTTCTGGTTCTGCTGCCTCAGTCGCAGCGGGGCTCTGCCCGGTTTCAATCGGTACGGACGGAGGTGGGTCTATTCGTACCCCGGGGGCCGTTTGCGGTGTTGTCGGTCTAAAACAGACGTTTGGTCTAGTCGACCAGGACGGCTCTTGTCCCTCGTCGTACTCTGTGAGTGTCTCTGGTCCCCTTTGCTCATCTGTGGTCGACGCAGCGGTGACGACAGACATCATGGCGAGGGAGACGGAGGGAGAGAGGGTCCTTGCCTCCCTCGATGGAATTGACTCCACGGAGGATCTGAGCGGGGTAAGAATCGGGGTGTACTGGGAGTACTTCAACCACGCAGACGGGGAGATTGTCGAACGGTGCAAGGAGGCGGTTTTCTTCCTCGAATCCCTCGGGGCAGAGGTCGTGGAGGTCGCTATCCCCGAGCTGGAAGAGAGTCGAGTGGCCCATTTCGTCAGCATCATCTCCGAGATGTCTCACTCTCTCTCCCTCGATGCAGACAAGAACTTCTCCGTCCTGAACCTGGAGTCGCTCTTTGTGATCGGCGCCGGGTATCCTTTGACGGCGAGTCACTACATCAGTGCTCAAAAGCAGCGTACGCGAGCTCTCGCATGCCTCGGGCATCTCTTTCAGAAAGTCGACGTTCTGGTTACTCCGTCCACTGCCTGTATCATAACCCCAGTTTCAGAGGGTGCAGTTCGCCTCGGCGAGCTGGACGGCACGACGTCAGGGCGGTTGATGAGGTATGCCTTCCTGGCCAACCTGTGCGGGAACCCGGCACTCACGCTGCCAGTGGGCTATACGGAGGAGGCCGGTCTACCGATCGGTCTAATGTTGACGGGTCGTCACTACGAGGAGAGGGTGTTGCTGAGGCTCGGGCTGGCCCTAGAGAGATCAGGAAGATTTCCAACAAAGAAACCACAAGTGTTTTATAACCTTCTCAAGAGTTGAACAGAAACTATTTCAAAATCTTAATCTTAGGTGTGTGAAACCCTTCAATTACCTGTGTGAGATTACTCGCTTATTGCTTGTGTGCACCAACGAATTATGACAATTAATTATGCAACTCAGCTACCAGCCACAAGATTACTATTAATGATGAAGTAGCTTGTAGTGAACTTTCCTTGCTGCAGTTAGGTATAGGTCACAAGCACAGCTTTCTCACACTAGGTTACGTGGGTTCATATAATATATACTATTGTGGTATTTATATGCAGAGTGAGGTATTTGAAACTACATACATGTAGTGTGGGCACACATTTATCTGATGACTGGCGGGTGACAACTATGCTTTAGTGATAAATGACTTTTTTCATGCATGAGAGGAGTCTTGTCATCCATACAAAGTCTGGGATCTAGCTATCCAAATCCCCAATCCTCAGGACCAGAGAACTCATCACTGAACATGGCAGGATCGTCAGCTATCAGGAAGTCATCCAAATCACCATGGTCACTACACAATAGACAATACATCAATAATTATCAACTCACAGTGCACATCAGATCTATAGAGAAATCACCATTAGAAGTTTTATTGCCGTCAGAAAACAAAAGAAAGCAAGTGGAAAAAAATCTGCCAGATGTGACATTCGAAGCACAGAATGTTTTGCTAGCGTTTGATTCACTGCTCTGTTACTCCATTATTTGTAGGCTAAACCACTCAGTGTTGCTGAATTATACTTTCCTTTTCGGTTATAATATTATAGCGAACTTTGTGAATAGATAGTTCCAAAAACCAAATTTCTCCAACTCACAATTTCATGGACAAAACTGTCGCGGACGGCCCGCAAACAATAATAAGATATTTTGTTCCAGTATTGATTACTGTGCACAATGGTAAGCAATACTTCTCTCCATAGTCATCCTGTGCTCGGTGAGGATAGAGAACTGGTACGGATGGAGCCTCCAGTCGAGGGAGGGGACTGACTCTCTCTGGAGCAGGAGGGGGTGTGGCCTCGTGGTCCCAGTCTTCCTCATCTTCTGACAAAACTACAGAGAACATAACAACCAGTTTCAAAACAAAACAAATTGTACATAAGTACCGTGTGGTACTAAGCACCTGTGATTATCAATTCAGACGACAAGTAAGATAGGCTCCCTTGAATCCCTTCTCGCTAATCACGAAACTGCACCACATGCATTGTGCCTTAGAGTAGTTCACACACTTAGAGCACTTTGAAGTGCAGTGCAATGTGGTTAGCAAAGCTGCATGCTAGGAAAGACTTCTCAGTTGGGTGAGTTTCAGTGACACAGTTTGTCTGAATTTTCTGAGACCTACAGTATATAATTATATATATATATATATAGTATACAGAGTATGTTGTTCGTACATTGGAAGTAGTCGAGTTCGTCAGGGACATAGTCGGCAGAGAGAGAGGGAACTGAGAGGTCAGTCAGACTAACACTGGCACCAGTGACTCTTGCAAACTCCTCCAAGGCCTCTTCCCCAATGGATGAACCTGCAGCAGCATGCAGCACCGCAGGGTTTACACAACAGGACTCATTAGAGGGAACAAAACTAGTGTTCCGCGGTTATATAAAAAAATTATTGCAAGTGAGGTCCTTACACAAAACTAGTGTTGAACAACTGTTTCACTGGCTAATAAAAGCATATGGACTGACAGAGAGTGGAAAATGTATCTTTACAGTAATGAAACAAAAAGCACTTTACATACGGACCCATATATTCAGTGCCTACCTCCAGCCATAAGAGTGAAGTTGTGGTGTCGTGAAGAGACGGATTGCAGAGAGTCCTGCAGAGGCAGCAGGCACTGGTCAGAGAGGGAGAGCTGACAGCCACACACATCTAGTGTCTCCAGTCTGGGGCAGACCCTGCCCATCAGGGCAATACCTGCACAAACGTGCATTTAGAGTGGTTCACGATACACTGCAGTCCTGTGATACGATGCAATGGTATATAGGTCGTGGGTCATTTCGCGAACACTGGTGGCATGTCGCGAGAGACAAGCTAATAATGTTGTGAGATATTATTTTTGCTGGAACTTTGTATCGTTGGCTCCAGCGATGCATTGTGAAGCAGGCTTTAGACCACAAATTTGAACAGGTGCAGCGGTTAGCCTCAAATTCTTCTCCACTAACAAATTTCTCATTCAAGGGAAAACCACTTAATAACTAGGTTAGTTCGGTCTCCAAAATAAAGAGTTTTTTTTGCATATCAAGACCATCTAAAAGTATTTTACACAACACAGGCATAGCAAGCACAGAGCTTCTACTCACAGTCATCTGTAACACCATGGCAGGCTCTAATGCACACTCTCCTTGTCTCAGAATTCAGCACAGCAGCAAGGCCCTGGTCAGTCACCTACACACACAATCAGTAGCAGCAGATCAAACCTAGCAATAAGTTATTGTAACTTCACAAGTAGAGCTCAGAATATTCACTGTCCTGTTTTACACACAGATCCCAGCTCTCTAAAACATTTACAAATGGCTCTCAAAAGCAAAAAGCGAAAACTAAAGCTATCTCCCCCATAACCCTTCTCTCTCTATGGTAGGTAGCTATACACATTGTTTCTCTGATCCATGCTAGGTATGTTATACAGTACATAGTCTCTCTATCTGGTAGGTATATGGTTTCTCTTCTCTATGGTATAAATACATGGTAAAGAGAGTTATGGGTGGTGTACAGGGCAGTAGCTGAAGTTGATGTCGGAGAGTCTCTGGCAGGTGGAGAGACAGGAGAGCCCTGCATCAGTCACCATGTGACACGCAACACAGCTCAGAGTCCTGGAACATACAGGGAGATACCGTAATAGATATTACTAGCTAGAGAGTTACTACACAGGCCCGGCATTCATACACAGTAGTGGAAAAATCATAATGATAGGGGACATTCTTAAATGACATGTGACAGTAATAAAGGCTAAACTTAGAAAACGTTTCTAAACTAGGAACATAAAATTTTGCACTGTGACCACATTCCCTTTCTAAACGAATCCCGCTACGCAAAACAATGTTAGAAGCATCTCTCACACATTCGATGGAGGACACCAGACAAAGAGTATGGACAGTGATGCAACAATGCTGACCTGAGGCTAGGGCACTCTCTTCCAACTAGTCTCAGAGTCACATCTCCAAACATTGGCTGCTCATTCACAACTAGAACCTCCTGCATGTTATCATGAATACACAGCGACTGGCTCAATACACACACTGCAAGTGGCTCACCACATACACCACGGCTGGCTCACTACATGCATACTAAAACGAATGCAGCGTGGCGAGCAAAGCAGCCATTGAACCGCGGTACGTGATGTTCGCACGTGCACATTGTCGTGGTGCATGGTCAGTCATTGCAAAACCACGCAATTCAGACACGTGGGCTCAGTTTGCTCGCCAATTACACACCAGACTATAGTGTTGAGAGTGCAATTTACCCACACATTGAATACTACTCTCTATTATACAAATCTACCACCTCTTGTGCCTATAGCGTGAAGGGTGCATTATATAGGCAAACGTCCCCATCAGGCTCTACCCACTCATCCTAACAACGTGGACCGAGTCAACAGCTAAAGACAGTCAAATTGATTTTTGTCTTTGCACATAATAATTGTTCAAGAAATACCAAGAATTAAACTAAGAGTTTGCGATGTGAAAACATTCATATTAATATACAATGAATGGTCAACTCACCAGTTGTGAGAATTGTGCCACCGTAAGCATGTCACTGATTGTCACTGCAGAACATACTACTATAGCAACATACACACCATGGTAAGTAGGAGTTCACCTACCGCCAGTATTTGTCCCCGCAAACTTCAATTCTTTCAACTTCCTACAATGCTGCGATAGAGGAGTCATGGCGGTAAAAGGGATTGGGACAAATTTTGAAGGGAAAACCAATAAAATGCATTATTGGTGCGAATAAATGCGAGTGTGATATTTCAGCGGTTTTATGCAAATTATGTATAGCATTGCAGTCATTACGGTGTGGACAACACCATCTACGCTATATGGTAGGTGGTGATATTATATAAAACCCCAGAAAATTGCGCCAACATACATATCAGCAGGAAGATTAGACTCCTGACATAACGATATATTTATTTCTGCACAAACTTGGGGTCTTCTTCTAAATCATCACTGCACCAAAAAAAACTCAAAGTGCCCAGAACAGTATCATTTAAAAAAATGGTTGATAACAGTAAAATGTCAGGGTGAGAACGGAAAAAGTGCTCATATTAACAAATATCAGAAGTGCTCATTGTACAAAGAGTTTCTGTTTCATCACTGGACATATAACTCCACAATCTCAATGGGAGTGTCTTCGTTTGATATGTTCTCGTTTCCACAGATCCTCAATTCCACGTCGTCGGTCGAGGCTTGGACCAGGTCCCGACAGAACCACGGTGGGCGGTTGAACTGGCAACAAGTGCTCTCCGGACTGCATCCCTCTCCGTCCCACAGCGGGTCCATCGTGTGGAATACCCCCGACCTGAAGGTGGACGTCCCACTGTCGCAGAAGTAGTTTTCACCCACAAACTCTGGGATGGCGGTGTTGGGGAGAGAGTGGGAGGAGTGGGTGCAGGGACAGATGTGACGATCGCGGGCGTTTTCGTCTAGCGTCGAAGCAAACGACCAGACGTGCTCTCGAGGTCTCCCACGAGTGATGCTCACTCCATCCACGTAATACTGGTCTATTGTGATGTCCGGGTCGTACTGGTGGGCGAAGAAGGCGTTAGGGGAGGAGAACTGGTAGCCGATGACCCGTCCGCAGATCCTGGAGTAAGTTACTCCAGAGGAGTTAAAAAAGACGGAGGAACACCCGGGGGCGGAGATTCCACGTCCACAGGTCCGGACTGGACTCTGGACGAGACCGAGGTTCTCGGGACAGGACTGGGACGGATCGCTCATGTCCAGATTAGCGACTCGCAACCAACCGCGGGCGTTTATGAACCTGTTAGACATGTCGCAGTAGACTCTCTCAACGCTCCATCGACCACGAAGCCAGTAGTATCCCGACGGAGCACCGGGGTCATTTCGCAATATATCCTGACAGTAGAAGGCCGGGTTGGTCTCAGAACACCCTACACAGTTGGGACTCATCGTTGTCGCCGTTGTGGTCGGTGGTGGTTGCGTGTTGGTCACTGGTGGTTGTGTAGTGGTCGCTGGTGGAAGCGTTGGTCTGGTAGCGGGGGCGGATGTCATCACAGTATTGCTCGGAGGGTCGGTTGGCATCACCTCAACTTCGTCTAGTGTCGCTTGGAGGAGGTTTTGTAGAGTTGCTCCCACAGCTTCGTCCAGGAGTATCTCAGCCTGCGTGAGTGTCTCACGGAGAACCTGCGATATGTTGAGAGTCGGTACAGGAGGAGGGACTGTGGGACAGGTGACGACTGGAGGGGGAATGGTGGTGGCAGTGGTAGGAGGGTTTGTTGTGGTGGTGACTGGTGCAGTTGTGGTGGAGGTGGTGGAGGTGGTGGTGGTGGTGGTGGTGGTGGTGGCTACTGTTGTATCTGAAGGAAGGGAGCAAGAGAGAAAGAGGAAGCAGAAAGGAGTGTGTGTTGAGGGAGGGAAGGAGTGAGAGGGGGGAGAAGGGAGAATAGGGAGAGAAGGGGGAAGAGAGAAAAAGAGTGTGCAGAGAGAGGGGAGTGAGAGAGAGGGTAAGAGTAAAGAAGAGAGGGAAGAGCGAGATAGGGTGAGCAACGAAAGATGAAGACAGCTACGTATCAATGCTAGATGAGGGAACGCTGTAACACATCTCACTAAACAGAGACCTTTGATCTGCCCCTAACACCCAAGTGAGCAAACAGTTAAGCACCATAAGTGTGGCATAGTAGGAGAGAGTTATGGTCATTGGAATCACCCACTAGTGATTGAAGCTACTCATATGTAGCTATCTGTGCTAGTGCTTCACGTTCATAAACTCATATACAACGTGCCTGACACCTCCACCCACGTACATATAAACAATGATCATATAGCACTGAGTAGTGGGGTGCAGGCATACCTGTTGGAGGTACTTGTATCTCAATAGCGGTGACGGTAGCTCTGAATCCAGAGCGGCCGGTGCTTCCGTCTGTCCGGAGCTCAACCGAGAGGACATTTGAAGAGCTGTTGTACAGGGAATTTGATCTCTGTCCGGTGAGGGTGGCCAGTCGGGACGAGGGCTCGCAGAACCTCCCGCTGCAGAGCTCCACCGTGTCGTACGTTGACTCCGTGGAGAAATTGGTGAATACGATTCTGAGTTGGGTGTTGGGTGGGCCGGTGATGATCCACTTGCAGTGGATGTTCTCCAGGTAGTTGGAGGGGTAGTTGGGGGACTGGATGACCGTGGTTGACGTCGGTCCAGTACTGAATTCACCACCACATGATCCTTCAGAGGGAGAAAAGGAGACAGTTAGTGTTTAGAAGATAGGTGAAAAGGAGTACACCTTGAAATATGACAAGAGTAGAAGAAACTGAAAGAGGACCTGATGCAGTGCTTCAAACTAAATCTCAAAGTCACCTCTACTCAGTCCGCAAATTTTCCGTAGTTAGCGTAAATTATTCGCATTGTGCACTTAAGTTGTACTTGCCACACCTTTTGGAGCTCTCTTCGCCTCCGTATTTTTACGATTTTTGCCCGTAAAGTGTGCAAATATTTTGTAAAATTACAGATAAATCTGTGAAATTGGAGGCTTGCTAATGCTAAATCAGAAAATCTAAGAAAGGCAGGATAACAAGGGTTTTAAAATGAAAGAGAGTAACACAACACAATAAGCAGGTACGTAATTACCATTGGCATGAAACTGACCAGGGATGAAGAGGGCTCTATTTGGAGTAGAGGTCCTGAAGTTGGAGGGAATGAGGCGGAAGTCGAGGCTGTTGCTAATGGAGAGAGACGTCAGTCGACTCACAATCTGATCGGGTGTCAGTCTCGGCTGACGCTGGAGGAGAATCGCGATGGCTCCACTCACGATCGGAGCGGAGAAAGAAGTCCCGCTCAGAAACTGGGAGCAGTCGTTGCAGAGATAGTCTGCCCCGAGGACACGGTCTCCGGGGGCAAAGATATCGACGCAGGGACCGTAGCTTGTGGAGAAGTAGAGTCCGTCACGGTCGGCGCTCCCGGCAACAGTTATGACGTCGGGAGAACTTGCGGGGCTCGAGCTGCAGGCGTCCTCTGCAGCGTTCCCCGCAGCAACCACAACGGGTACACCGCTCCTGTACAGAGCCTGGACGGCGTCGTTGACCGACTGAGTGTAGCTGCCGCTGAGGGACATGGAGACCACGGCGGGCCGGCCCCGCGCAGGTATGGTCCTCATGACGTAGTCCAGTCCGGACAGCGTCGTGCTCCATGGTCCTCGGTTCTGGCAGTCCAGGACCCGGATGCTGTAAATGGCCGCCTTCTTTGCCGCACCGTACCTCTCGCCCGCTGCGTTGCTGGCCACGTGCGTACCGTGACCGTAGCAGTCCCGGCCCAGTCTGGTTTCCCCGAGGTATTCGTCCATGGGGTCGAACCCGCCATACTTTGCCCTGTTTCCAAACTCTTGATGAGTGTAGGAGATACCGGTGTCCAGCACGTAGATGTCTACTCCTTCTCCGTCACCGATCGGGTTGTAGAGTCCGTTGAGAGGGAGTTGCCTCTGGTCCAGTCGGTCGAGGTGGTAGGGTAAGGTGGTCTGCGCACCTTCTGCCATTGTCTCCTCCTCAATGTACTTTACTTCAGGGATGTTTCGAATCTGGCGAGTGAAATGAAATGTAAATGTATAGAAGATAGGAATAAGAGCGGAATATATCTCTTAAGAAATATAGAATGGAAACTCTTTTGCATGGAAAATACACTTTAGCAGAAATACTCTTCAGTACAAAAGGAAAAACCGAAATGGATCACTTGATAATCGAGGAGGAGGTATAGGAATGAAAATAGGACTACTCTATAGTACGGAGGGAAAAAAACAGAAATGGACAACTTGAAAATTGAGGAGGGATTCAATTGCAAGCAGGAGGAAATTCTTCTTCTATATACACCCATCACTGAAAGCAGTGTTTTCTGGATGTCCACTGAAAAGGAGCAACAATAATGCTCCAACTGTACCATACAGCACTCACCATTTCCATGGAGTAATCAGAGAGCTTGACGGTTATGGCTTTAGCGACGTTTTGTATGAATCCGTACACCTTGTGTTCCTCGGCGACACTGGACGTTCTCTGAAGGAGTTCGGCCACCTTCTCGTCGGTCGTGTTCTCTCGCAGAACGACGATGTAGCAACCCGTCTTGTTGGCCGATTCCGGGGCATGGAGAAGCGGACAGCGTCTTCCCGAGACTCCGAGAGTCAGAGCGAGGAGTGCAGCAGTCACTAGCCAGAGCTTGGCCATGATACACGCGCTATTGACACCAATCACCAAAAGAGTGACGATATATGGACACTAACACCAATGACAAGACAGTTGAATCGCCTGGAGAGTGGGGTATTGTGATGATATATGGACGCCAGCCACCACAAGAAAACCACCGGGAGAGCGAGGTATACGGACCTTATAAACCTGCCTCAGCTAGTGTTCTGCAAGCTGCAGCTGGCTTATATAGCCACACAACCCAAGGACTTCCTTCCTGTCTTGTTTTACTAACCAAATTACCCATCCACCCACTCTCTGTACAAATATGGAGCCACTGTAGCCCCCTGCCTGATGTGTGTAGGTGGTCCCCTACTCCATAAATTCACACACTGTACTGACTTCTACCGTGATTACAAACATATGCCAAGTATATACCGCACTACCCGGGCTACACACAGGGGTCTATATATAGAGAGGTGTTGTTATCGCCAAGGAGATCAAGAGTGGTGTAATGAAAGCCGCTTCCTCGCCCAAAAAGGTAGAAACAGAGACGGTAAGTAGGTGGAAGCGTTACTACACGGCAGCTACTCCGAAACACTATCATATTCTATATACTCATGGGGGGGCATTCGCCGTGGTGTAGCAGATGTCTGGTCATGCACTGGAGAACTAGTGTCATGCATGTATAATTAGGAAGCTCTATATCTCCTGCGTGGGATAGTAAGCACAGCAAACACCCGCAGTGTGTGATAAACTCTGTCTTTTAACTTCCCACTGACAATCTCGATGGTGTGTTCTTCAAAGAGGCTTATATGGTGTGCACTGAGCCTGATTCTGTTGTAAACAGGCAGCATGAATTGCTCATACCACATAGTGGTTCCCAGCTATTATGGATTATTAATCCTCGGGGTGCATGCGCAGTGAGGATTACAGTTCTTGGTCTGTCAGTCAGTCAGTCAGTGTCTGTGTCGACCTTTATTCTTGGCACTACATCTACGAGGCGGCCTATAAGCGACACCAATGGCTTCACAAGTTCAAGAGTTATTCTCCTGAAACGACAGCGTTCGAGAGATACCTATGCCGTGAAAACAAATGAAAAAGCATGATCAGCACTGGCTTACCACGAGCATGTTTAGCTTGTTCGCCTAACCATAGAGGGATGGGGGATGTGTATCCAGTCAAGTGTTGCTCTAAACACTACCCACTTATCCAGCTAGTCTGTGCTATAGCTAGAAACTGGCTGTGTGGCATGGCCCAATCCACAATCATTTATGCACAAGTGTGTGAATAATTTTGCACATTAACAAACTCGTGCGCGTTCTTGCACAAAGGGTTTGGCACTTTAGTGCTTTTCTTATAGTGATGTTAATGCCCCTCCCAACCCCTCGAGACCGATCTCACATTGATATGCATGGGGTATGACCTTGATACGGGCATGCCATGCAATACATGTGCAATAACTTGTCATGAAAAACATGTTTATAGCATACTAGAATAATATGAGAGGAAAAGAAAGAACCTTAACCCCCCACCACCCAAATTAATAGACTCATAGAAAAATCTGAAACTTGCGCAGTATGACGATGCAACTTCGATAGAAAAAAAGCGATTACTCTAAATAATGCGCAACATGTAACTCTATCATAATCTATCATACTGCCTGCACTACTACATCTTTCACCTCACCCACTATTCTATGAGCATAGCATGCACATAAGATGACAGGCTCTGAGCCATGCTGATGGCGGAAAGTCATTACACATTCGACAGTATTCCACATACTGAAGTGACGACACATCACACAATTATTATAGAACAGAAATGTTTACTACGATTCGGTAGCAGAAACAAGTGACAACTTTGGCAGATAGTTTTATTTTCAACTGTATGTTCCAATACTTACTCTTTTTATATAAATTCACAAAACGATACCAGTAAACTCTTGACAGTGAAAATAGCTGACACGAACATTTTGTGAATCTCGCATTGACAGATTCAAATTACTTTAGTTGCCCAACACAGATCATATATATGGCTACACTAGGTAGAAACATCTACAGAAACTAGCAATCACATAGCAAGTTAGGAATGTCCACAACATACGCACCCAATTGAGGTTAGAAGACAACAATTACGCACTGCGTGTCCACGGGCTAAGAAATTTAAAGCATGCAACTCATTGAAGTGTGCATCAGTTGGAGCCATTCAGTCACACTATAGGAAAGCGACAAAAGGGTATGGGCAGGCGAGTATCAAGAAGCAGAAAGACGGTAGGAAACGACAAAGCAGAGCTTAAAAAAGCTGGTCGCAACTCTAAACTGACAGAGCCTAACTGACAGAGCCTAACTGACAGAACCCATGTGTACACGTGGAGGTGCCGACCGAATTGAAGGGCAAATCCCTTGGCATTGCACCCATACACATGTGCAGGTGAGAATACTGCTAATTGATGGGCTGGGCTACGGTATAGATTTACACACGCTCCGAGTCTCAAGCTAGGGGCTAATGGCAGGAGATAGCGTTTTAGGCATTGCGAGATTCGACACTCGACCTCTGTTCTAACCACTGATATATACCTCCACAGTGTGCCAACTGCGGGATGGGGTTGAGGAAAGCAAGTGGTAATTGCATATCGGATTGATCACTTGGTCTTCACGTCGTAACTTTTGAACGAAGTACTTCTACCAGAAAACGTGATAACAGACGGACAGACTGACTGACACACAAACCAAGTACTTTAACCCTCGCTGCACATGTGCACCGGGGGTTAAAAACCAATATTGATGCAAGCCCACGTCACACTTTCAGTAGAGACTTTCTTATCCAACTAGTCTGATTACACAGAATTTGCACTCAACTTTATTTGCAACCAATATCAATCTTTTACATCTCAGAGGTAGATACGTACTACAGCTATACAAGTGAAATAAAAGATACAAAGTAGTCAGATGAAAGGAACAGTAATATATCTTTGCAAACGCCATGTATTCCATGCTGTCTGAATGAACAAAGAAGTCTACAACAGTAAGCTGTTGCAAGAAATGGTATGCCAGGTCGAGCAATCCAAGCTAGACTTCACTCGTGTAATCAACATCCTGAAATTTTGGTGCCCGAACATTCTGAATTATTTGTGGTCCCGGGTCAACATCCTGATTTTGCCCATTTCGAGCGTTCTGCCGTATAGACTTCAGAAGAAAGATAATTGAGAAGATGGCCAAACAAGGTCCACCAATTGCAAAACACAATAAAAAAGCATAAAATTTGACAAAACTTTCACCTGTATATTCAGTTAAATCACTAAGAGCCGGTAGACTAGCCAACACAATTACAAAAATCCAAGGAGCTAGCCATACAACTGCCAAGCAAACACACCAAAAGAACTTAGCCAGAGTTGCGACATTAGGAGCAGACATCTTTTCCATAATCCATATCACCAAGTGACCATAAATGTGGATGTAAGATACAGCTACACCAAAAAACCCAACTGCATACGAAAAGCCTTCGGAGGAGTCAAACACAAAGTTAAAACATATCACCGTAGCATCTTCTTCAACTTCATCACAATCTTGTACCCTTTCAAAGTCTTCGCCAAATAAATGTGATAAAGAAGAATTTCCAGCAAAGCAATCAAAGCGACGATCGCAGACAAAAGTCTCCTTCAATAAAAATGATGCCCAGAAGGATATGAAAACACAGTACAACACCACTGTTGAGACAAATGATAGCACATACACATAGTGATGAGATATTGAATAATAATTGTAAAAAAGAGGTTGGCCATTGTCATCCTTTTTAAGCACACCACTAAACACTACTTTTGAGTAAAGAAAAAGGGCTTTTTTTATAGAATTAAACTTTTTGAAAGCTGATAATATAATTAAAATAATATTTATAAGTGCTTGGATTACAATCACGACAATACCAAGTACAAAAGGAAATGTATAATCCAAAAAAGTATAGGTACTGTAACTCAAGCCTTCAGCCATTCTCGATTTCAAACTACGTATCAACAGAAGACGACTAGAGTAACACTCTTCTCAAGTTTGTAGCTTGCTAGAGCTCAACTGTCACACACTGACTCAGTTTGTAGCTTGCTAGAGCTCAACTGTCACACACTGACTCTATGGAACAGTAAGAAACGGCAAAGCAGAGTACAGTCAGATGAAAGGAACAATAATCTTTGCAAACATTACATCTACATGTGTGAAACAATGTCATCTATTGCATGATGTCTGAAGGAACAAAGAAGAATACGACAGTAAGCTGTTGGTAATATTGCCGATAAATTAGCATAATTCTTGGTATGTCAGGTCTAGCAATCCAAGCTAGAGTGTTGTTGTGTCTGGTCCCCGATCAACATCCTGAATTATTCCTGGTCCCCGATCGACATCCTGATTTTGCCCATTTCGAGGATCTTCATTTCGAGTGTTTTGTAATTTCTGTTGTATAGACTTCTGAAGAAAGATAATTGAGAAGACGGCCAAACAAGGTCCGCCAATAAAAAAAAACAATAAAAAAGCATAAAATTTGACAAAACTTTCACCTGTATATTCAGTTAAATCACTAAAAAACGGTAGAATACCCAACACAATTACAAAAATCCAAGGAGCTAGCCATACAACTGCCAAGCAAACACACCAAAAGAACTTAGCCAGAGTTGCGACATTAGGAGCAGACATCTTTTCCATAATCCATATCACCAAGTGACCATAAATGTGGATGTAAGATACAGCTACACCAAAAAACCCAACTGCATACGAAAAGCCTTCGGAGGAGTCAAACACAAAGTGAAAACATATCACCGTAGCACTTTCTTCAATTTCATCACAATCTTGCACCCTTTCAAAGTCTTCGCTAAATGAACGTGATAAAGAATTTCCAGCAAAGCAATCAAAGCGACGATCGCAGACAAAAGTCTCCTTCAATAAAAATGATGCCCAGAAGGATATGAAAACACAGTACAACACCACTGTTGAGACAAATGATAGCACAAACTCATCGTGATGATATGTTGAATAATAATTGTAAAAAAGAGATCGGCCATTGTCATCCTTTTTAAGCACACCACTAAACACTACTTTTGAGTAAAGAAAAAGGGCATTTGTTACAGAATTATTTAACTTATTGAAAGCTGATAATATAAGTAAAAAAATAGTTATAAGTCCTTGGACTCCAATCACGACACTACCAAGTACCGAAGGAAATGTATAATCCAAAAAAGCATAGGTACTGTAATTCAAGCCTTCAGCCATTCTCGATTTCAAACTACGTATCAACAGAAGACGTCTAGAGTAACACTCTTCTCAAGTTTGTAGCTTGCTAGAGCTCAACTGTCACACACTGACTCAGTTTGTAGCTTGCTAGAGCTCAACTGTCACACACTGACTCTAGGGAACAGTACGGCTGCATACATAGACCAACTAAAACCGATCGTTACACCCACTGAACTGACGTATTTATCTAGGGTCAGTGAGATATCCTTATTTAAAAGTCATGTTTTGACTGTCACACAAAACCTCCCTAATATATAACATTATGGTGAGTGATTAGGTGGGAAACTATGGCTATGAATAATATGGGCAGAAAAATTTGTCAATAAACAAGTGTGCATTAAATAGGGATCATTTCAACTGAGCATTTTTTGAAAATGCATGTCTTCACTATCACAGATGAAAAAATTATAAGGCTCTGTTTCAGTGTCGCCATCGTGTGTGGTTTGTGCATTTCTTACGAAACAGCTAAAACACGACATTGTAACTACAAAACTGTATGCAAACAGTCTATAACAAACGCCAAGCAGAACATCTGTGTATGTTCAGGCCGAAGTTTCTTGCGTTTCCAGGTAAGGTATGGGAGGAGTACGTAATCGAGAGTGACGTTTTCTCAAATATCCAACCAGACTTATCACACAAGGTCCAACGTACAAAAAACAAATTTCAGGGTGCCTTCTGCCGTCATAGCTGTCATAAAGGCAGCTTTGCTGAAAATCGGTACTTTCACATGGAGAGCACTAGAGTGCAAACCCTCCTCGCCGAGCTAGTCTCCAGTATCTGGGAGACGTCTCCAAACAAGTAGTCTCTCTTGGGCTACAACAAACTTGTGCAAAATACAGACGATTCCCTCTCTTGGTTTTCTAGCTATGGCTATTCTCTGGTTCCCATACTTTCTTGCCTCAGAAGCACGAAACACGCGCATGCACTTTGGAAACGTAATTGCGGTCTTCCAACCTCCTCTGATATGCACCTGTACTGAGACATTCACAAACACCCCAACCAACCAACCAACTATATAAAGCAAGTTGGAAACGCTTACGCCATAACCACAGCTTAGAGTACGACCGTTTGAAATACTCCAATCTGATTGGTCAACTAGGAGAAAGCTAGTCCACTTAGTTTCCTCTGTAGGATGAGGAGGAACACAAACAAGTAGAACGAGGAATACTATCGAGGAAAGCTATTGGATAGTATTCACCCCCCAGGGCCTTTGGAACATTGATTACATTTTCTCATGTTGTGCGCGTGCCACACTCTCAAACAGTTAGAGGACGAGTCATGGAAACCACACGATATAGGAAGCCTTGGGCCCTGTAGTAGCGTCCTCACTGCGCTCGGAACACCACAGCCCCAGGGCCTCGGCCTCCTAATCCGGATAGTGTCCTATGACATGCCTAACTATTACATAGATCATAGTAGTTACGTGCCGACACATGTACCATACACTGTACCATACGCAGCAAGTTGGAAATGCAATATGCATACCACATCCATGGATCATGGTAGCTAGGTATATATATAGGTATGCCCACACACATGAAACTTTTATGTGATGCGGGAATAGAGCCATCATTTAACCTACTTGGTATATGTTTTTCCAGCACAATGCCTGAATTCCCTATAAGGAAAGCCAAGTGGGTGTTGATTAGGAAGTAGCTCAGCCCAGTACAGCTAAGTGGGTGCTACTACTGAATGCACCGTTGCTGGGGTAACATATACCAAGTATCTGTAAATATCCATATACAGCAAGTTGGAAATGCTACGCATACTCCAGCCATAGATCACGGTAGTTACCAATTATAAGTATGCCTACACATGCATGAAATTTCCATGTAGTTGTATATACCCATATATACCGCAAGTTGGAAACACCATAGATCATGCTAGATACCCAACTGAATCCTGCCCACACATCTTGGTAAAACTGTCAGAAAAAGCATTCCACACAGTCAATGTAACCTGCATGACCTGAAAATGACATCGCAGTGTTTGCCAACGAAAGTCGAGGTGGCATTCTTGGCAAACAGTTCAGGAGCTTCGGAGTGCCATCAGATGAATTTGGCGGATTTGAACGCGTCAGTGATGCACACTGACAGTTATTTAATTTGTTTGGAGTAAGACACTAACAAAACGGAAAAAATGAACTCCATTTAAACAGCGCAGTGTAGGTGCATTAGAAGCCCAAAGGATTATGCACTGTAGTGCCGAGGAAGCTAAGTGAACGATTCAAGGGCTTTTAACAGACGTAGATGTCAATAGGACAAGCATTTGGTACGAACTCCATATTGATATGCCCTTGTTTTTAGGTGTGCATAGGTTGCGTGGGGCAAACTGCACCACACAGGCACTCTCTAAACTCGCTGTGAGCTACTACCAGAAAAACACGTTTGAGTGCTTACTAAACACACGTACATAAGTTAGCTATTGTGGCTAACCAGAGTACGTCTGTGCTATATATATAGATCCTCACCTTGCTGATGGAGCGAAGGGAGGCTCCAGTTAACCTGGGACAGTGGCTGATGTCCAGAGTCTCTAGATGTGGAACTCTGGCTGCCAGCAACTCCAGAGAGCTGTCCAACAACTGGGGAATACAGACATACGTATTCAATTACTTAAGTCTATTTGACTTCACCTTAGCCCTCGAATAATTTACTGTAAAAACGCTAACACAATTGGACTCCTCGCAACTTTCCCATTTTGATGATAATTATGCTTCACTGTGTTCTAAACCTCATCAGTCTGAAGTTGCTGCATGTCCCATAAGAAAAGTATGTCATAAGTGAAGTACACGGTACAAGTACAAACAGTTAACAAAACCTCTTCTGGGGATCAGACTATAGAACACATGTGTAGCACCCACACTCAATGAAGTACTATAGACCCTGAACTAACTCCTACGTTAAGTGTATGAATATCGGGATTTTGAGAGTCGATTTGGAGAGTCGATTTTGAGACTCAGTCAGACTCGCGAAAGAGATTTTCTAT